ACTCATGTCATGACCGGTCAGCAAGGTGTCAATCCAAGAAGGTAAGTACTAGTGATCTCATTTAGGAGGTAAGAAAATTGAAGAAAAGACCACTATATTTGCTGATGGTCACACATCTAGTAAGAAGAGTAGCTGTGGTTTCTACCTTGATTTTGCTGACCTTGAAGCTCAAATATTGGAATCTTAGGGCTAAAGGTTCTAATGCATCATCTGTGTCCTGGTGTCACATGTCCAGGCTCCTCAATTCCACCTCTCACATCAGAATCTCTGTGATGGGCCCCAGGCACCTGGAAGCTAAGACCTGACACTAGTTATTCTGATAAGCACTAAAGACAGGGAACCACTGCCCTAGGGCATTTGGGGTCTCACACTGTACATACACTGGAGTTTAGGTTGGATGTGACAGGCAACTGGAACATAAAATTAATTAGCCAAAGAAAGAGATGGCCTTGTATCACAGAGGAGGAAAAAAATACCCAATCTAAGAATTTGAAGATCTGTGTTTACATGGCATTTAATGGACTCACTTTAACCTTTCTAAGCTTATGTCTCTATCAACTAAAAAAAAAATCTTGCTCAGCCTACCTATGTAGAATTGTTGCAAAAATATGAGAAAATAAGTGTGAAAAGTTCTGAAAAGCAAATGTTTTAGAGCCACGTTGGAGATATGGTGAAAATGCTCCCAGTGATCAGTCTTGTAAGCTTTAAGTTAAATGGTTTGTGAAAGAGGTAGGTCGGATTTCTCTTTCTATACTGAAGGAAGCACGAGTCGGAAACCAGGCAAGGTTTGGAGCCTTAAGGCAAAGGAAGTGGAGTAGGGTTAGGGAGCCACTCCAGAGAACCCGCAGCTATGGATGACCTTTGGAAAGAAGGGAATGAAGAAAGGAGAGCCGGACAGGCTGCTTCTCGAGGTGCGAGGCTGCAAATGGGGGCGCTCATGTTCAAACATGAAGTTGGCACCAGGTGATATTTAGGGGGATGAGGCACTGAGAACAGACAGTCAAGGTCACTGGAGCAGGAGGGGCAGAAACAATGGTATTCAGAGTCATTGACTTATGTTTTCATTCAAATGCCACACATTTTGGGGGCACTTCAAGGGTCCCATGGTAGATATTCCAGGGTTCTTGAGATGAATGAGTGAGAGTCACTGCCTTCAGGGGGGGTGTGGTGTGGGTCGGGCAGAGCCATGGTGATGGCCAAGAAAAGGGGTCAACACTGCTGGGAACTGAGGAGTTGAAGTCACTGGAAGGGGTGAGTAGAGGCTGAGAAGAAACGCGGGGGAGAGAATTAGGGCGCCACCTACAGGGGGATTTGCTGGGAAAACCTTCCCGGGCGCCTTCCACCTCCAGTTCCTTTAGTTTCGTCCAAAGTCCACATCTGAGGTTGGGGGACTTGTGTTCTTTCCCTCTGTGTCTATATTTTCACTGCAGAACAGTCATCTCATGTCTGGTATAAATTTCCCTGAAAAGAACCTCCAAGGCGAGGTGTCGCGCCTTTAAAATTATGTTTATTCTCAGTAACTCAGGCCAAATTCTTAAGATGTCACTTCCAATAATTGTTTTTCTGCTCTATTATGTGGCAAATGTGAAATGAAAACAGGAAGGAAAGGAGAGTTCACCTGCTCTCCCAGAATAAATGACATGAAAGCAACGAAAAGACAGTGATGCTTTTGAAATAAATATCATCACTCTCTCCATTTAGTCGCATGGGAGTTACTTTCCTTTTTATCGTAAAATTTTTTTTCATCTCTTTGTCACTGGAACGGCCTAGGACAAAACTCTTGTGTGTACATATTTTGCTCGAACTTGTCTTATTTGTGTTTTGATCTTATTAGTCACACACCACTGAGAGGCCCCACGCTGCTTAAAGGTGCATAGATTTATCTTCCTGTCCCCGGTCACACTACGTGACATGGAACAGGGCAGTGGATGCCTGCAGGTGTCTCTTAGGGGTAAGAGTAAACTAACAAGAGGCCCTAACTGCAGTCTCCTTCCCCAGTAGGATGGTGTTCAAATCATTCCCTTCGGTGTTCATTCAAAAAAACAATTAAAAACATGAGACCCAAACTAATAGAGGATGGAGAGACTTGAGAAACTCAGAAAGTCACGATCAGCAGTGAAGTATTTGGAGAGGGGGGAGGGAGAGAAGAGAGGGGAGAGGAAGAGGGATAGAGGGAGAAAACAAAAACATCTGGAAATGTCCAGGAGGTTAAGAAGGTGGGATTAGCAGCCCAGGGCTGTGTGTCAAGAAGAAAGAAGAAACGCAAAAGGCCATTGGTTTGATAAAATGATTGTGATTTTTAAAGTGTTTCTTTCAGAGGTGGGTGGGGGTGCGATGGATTTCCTTTGTTCGAGATGTCTTTTAAATAAATTTCCTATAAAGAATTTCCTAAGTTAGCACCACTTCCCAAATACAAAGTGTCTGCAACTGCAGAACTGTGAGCCCTAGAGAAAAGAAACTAGGACTTCAATGTTTCTTAAACATACCACACTGACCAGCACAAATGCGAGGCACCCTGCATCTATATAATAAATATTTTTATTATTAAACTGATTTGCCATTGTAGCAAGAAACATTGTACGGCTGAGTTGAGTGGAGTCAAGGTTGACTTCAGTCTAGCGGGCAAGGTTCAGCCTCCCATGCCTTCCAACAGAGGGGCACCCCCCCATACAGGTGTACGTCGGGGGAGCTATGCCATCACAGGTAGGGGGGGGAATTAGGCGAATCACGGCCAGGCTGCCAGGATAGGAAATGATAGCAAAAAAGGAGAGATGCGAACCAGGAGAGGAGGGACAGGGAAGCGAAAGAACTGGAAGGAATGGAAACAGAGCTGGAGGTGCATAGAGCACGCCATTTGTGTTTAAATGATGTTTTGGGTTTCATTAAGTGCAATTCCTAGAATTAAGAGCTCAAATGTCAGTTACTATGACTCACTTCTTCAAGATTAATATACAGCAAGAGATTTTTTTGATTTTCATTTTTTACTAAGTATGGAGTTTAAGAATCGAAGGATTCTGCTTTTAGGAAACTCATGATGATGACCTTTTTTATTTGAAATGTCACTTTATCTAAACCTACTGTAAAGAAATGGTTCCAAAACAGAACCCAGTAGAAGAAATTTTTATTTCTCAGACAATTCAAGCATGAACTACTCACCGTGGTCCTTGCCTACCCTTAAGATACAGGGACTCGTGGTGTAAGTGATCTGCATAATCAGTCCATAATATTATCATAATGACAATGCCCTCTGATAATGTTACATTACAGCCGCCTTTTGAAACCACAGAAAATTTAACTTCTCATTTACCAAATACTAAAGTAGGGAGCAACAAAGGGCTTGTTATATTTGACAATCTAGAAAGATCGTATGACACTTGGAAAACTGTGCCACATACAAGCCTGGCACGAAATACATGGAAAAATGACCCAGTGGATGGAAAGTAGGATTGGCCAGAAACACCAAAAATGGAAAACAACTTTCCAAAGGGCGCCCGTGACCCAAATTCCACTCCAGCCAGTTGACTCCAGATGGAAAAAAGCAGGCCCAGCTCAGAAAGAGAAGGTCCACATCTGAATATTGTTTTACCCCAGGACAATGGCACGGCCCTGTGCCAAGAGGACGCAGAAGTTCTGATCATTCATTAAACAGCCGCCAGGGGAGACTGAGCATCGGAGCAATGCGGGCAGCCGGGGAGCTGACTCTCCGATGCTCCAGCGTGAACCACACCTTGAGGTGGGTGCAGGTGCCCTCAGGTGTGGACCGTGTTAGCTCACCGACCACCCTGGGTGGCCTCAGTGTGGACATTACCCTCAGGAGAGAAGTCAAGAACAACTCTCCTTATCACGGTGCGACCATATTAAAAAGCGTAAGTGTTGGGAGAACTGGGATTTCTATCCTGAATTCTGACTTCTGGCCTTCAGTCTGCAGCTGACTTACTACATACACCATTTTGAGTAAGCCAAGGCAACTCAGTCTCCGCAGACAATTTCTGAAGAGTCACAAAAGCGCCACATGGCAAATAGGAATATGTTCCAAATGCATGTGAGAATCATTTAAATGAGAAAGAAAGAGTATCTTCAAAGGGGAAAAATTACTGAAAGTTAAAGTATTTCATTCCTAAGACTGATTTTATTGATAAAAGCAATGAAAGTATTTGGGAATCTTATTTCTATCAGGTTATTGCCAGTAATCGGGTTTTGTGAAAATGCAAACCAGGCCATTGGCTTTACTGGAGTAAAAAAAAAAAGCCCATTAAAAAAACAAGTGAGAATTGCAACATACTGCTATATGTAAAGACCAAATAAGGTATACATGGAAACTTTCAATAAATTAGTAAATTTATTACAACAAATATCAATATCATGGAAATCACAGAATTATGTATTATTATATAACAGATATGTTATACCATATATACCATTAAATACATAGTTCTTATTCTGTGTAATATCTCATTTAAAAGGTAGGTAATAAAGTTATACATTAATAGTAGTTTCCTTTCTCTCACAGCTCTAGTTTTGAAAATATAATGCAATTGTATCCACAAGTGAACAGCTAGAATACAGCACCTGGTGAGATACATATGACTTCAGGATGGCAATTGTTATAGAAGACTTTCACTAAATTAGGCAAAAAATGTCCTAAAGGGGGCCTGGGAACAGCAGGACAGAAAAGATGACCTTCTAAAGTTTTAAAGTTCAATTAGAGAACTCGAAGCACAAGGCGTCTTAAAGCACAGAATAAGGGCATTCGTTTATTTTTAAATAAAATAAGTTTAAAAAAAATATCATCCTCTAAGTGAGAGAGTACAAATACCAGCACTCTGAAATAACGCATGTCCCAAAGAAGGGAAAAGAGAGAACACCACTCTAATTTCCTTTGAATTTAACTGGACTATAAAAGTTTTTTTAACGATGTGCTCTTTAGAATGCATAATTAACTTAAAAAGGAGATGGAAAGCGCAAGCTTGATTGTCTGGGCTGGGGGACACTCCCATTACCTTGCAGTATCTCCACACATCCCCCTAAGATCAAGGGCTCCAAGGGGCTCCACCGCTTCTTGCCTGGGATCAGGAAGCTGCTTCATGATGTTATCAGTTCAAAAGCTCTTCTTGGAAGTTCCTGAACCTCCTCCAGGCCCTTCCCTCAACACACACACACACACACAGAGGCAAAATGCCTACTAAGATCAAAGATGCTCCCAGACGGGTACTGGGATGTCCCTCACATGGCTGAATTCTCCAGCCCCACCGCCACCCCTCCCCCACAGGCCACTCCTATGTGTTCAAGGTTTTCCCAAATTCCCAAAGCAGTGTGAACGGGGACAGGGGTGAGCCAGCCAGAGTGCAGTTCAACTCCGTGTGCGTTCCCGAGTGTGCATGTGTGCTAAGGCCAGGGGGGGTGTGCGTGTGTGTTAAGGACAAAGGTGTGCGTGTGTCAGTTTTATACTCCCTGGGTTAAGTGGGGAAGGAGTTAAATACACGCCTCACTTTAAAATTACTTCGTTAACTTATTAGAAACATCAACTTGGAAGCGAGGACTGGGGCAAACTGGCAACACATCGCCCCCAGCTTTACGTGGGTGAGAGAGGACGTCCCGGCGCGGGGCAGTGATTCACACCAGCACTCCAAGGAGAGGTGGGGGAGAGGTGTGTCTTTTAAACTTCGGACCCAACCCTTTCCCGGAACCATCCCTGGGCGGCCGGAGGGGAGGGAGTGCGCGAAGCCAGCGAGAGGCGCCGGGTGTCGGCGGGCACGGGCGCAGCA